TGTTAAAGCCCGCGGATTATGCGCACGGATTATGCCCTCTAGATTTCCTTTCTTAGTTAGCGAACCCTAACGCGATACTAAATCGGGCGCGGATTGTGCATAATCCGTCGCCTTATATTGGTTAGGCCAGCAGATTTGCCGTCAGACATGGCGACTCTGAGACATCAAAGCTTCTCGCTTGCTGCAAACCCAATACTTGATATAAGCGAGACTGGTCGAATATTTGGACATTCGGGGTCGATTGTCGGGACACCGGGGACGCGGGAGCGCGATCGGTGCATGGGACGCAGAACTGGCACGCGTGGAGGCGTTCACTGCATTTGTGCTCGCTGCCCACAGTGACGTCTGGCGTCTGTTGCATCTCTATCCTCGCTGGTCTTTCTGGGCGTGCGCGTCATCTGTAGCTTTCGTCCGCCCATCTTGTGTCGCATCCACTGTCAGCTCACTTCTAGAGACGTTATTTTCTCTTTTCAACTTCCTTGCCTTCATACCTGCCGTCATCCGACTCATCCTCGCGCGTATCTCGTCCATTCTGACGGCCATGTCATGCGTGGTGATGCTGGGATTCCGACTGTGATCGACGCGGACGGCGAGCTTGTCGCACACAAGACGCGATGTAGGTACGCGGGGCGTGTCCGCGTCATGCTCGGTCCGCGCATCAACTCCGGCAGGTCGAAGGAAACTTGGATTACTCGTGCCATTGGCCTTTACAGGAAGCTTGCTGTTAGTATAGATTGAAGAGCAGGTACTGCGCCGTGTAGTGGCTACGTCGTTCAGCGATAGGGCTGAGTCCGAGCGTAGGTGAGCGGGCAACGGGGAGGACGCTCTAGATATCAGTCTCTTGATGGACTTGGGTGGGATGGGCGGAGCGTGTTCGAGATCAGGTGAAGGGCCTCTGTGCTCGTTGTTTGGGGTGCTCTGGAGTTGTACCCGAGTCGCCCGATAACCATCAGTCGCAGAAGCCGGACGATGCGATCGATAAGTTGTTGCGACGCTGGATGCAGTCATGCTGGCTGCCGGTTGGCGCCATCCCAGGCTTGCTTTCGTCGGCCGGGCATAGCTGGGCGCATTCGTGGTAGACGCAGTCGACCCCGACCTAGCTGTTGCAGGCTGAACATGGCTGGGGGCGCTTCCTACGGCTGGCGTAAACTGGCTTCCATGTTGCACCGAGGCTGCTGGGAGTGATAGCCTTGACGTGGGTGCGGTAGGCGTAGGCGACTGGCATGACTGTGGGTATCGCGATGTTGGTCGCGACAGTGTAGAGAACAGGCGCTTGCTCAGTGAAGGCGACGTGCGGCGGCATCTGGCAATGGCGCTAGGCAGCGAGGTGTTAGTCATGCTGGCAGGTGCAGCTGGTCCACCTAAAGTCGCGACTTCCTCCCCAGCACCGATGTACTTCCTCATAACAAGCTCTACCTGAGCAGCAACATCGTCAAAGTCCAGCGCTTCGAGCACGTCGAGCGCTTTCATCTTCTGGTTTAAGGCTGCGCACCACATATGACTGATAGCGTTCTGAGATTGGGCTATCCTCTTGTTGCGAGCCACAATGTCCGACCAGTCGCGATAGGACTGAAGCCCTTTCTTCATGTCTACGCAAGCTTTTGCGACATGCTCCTTGCTTACAAGGGCACACGGGTACAGTGCCTCAAGCACAGCAACGTTCGCTGCGTTGCCGGTGATCTTACGCCAGATGACCAGCAGCCTTTGTAGGTCGCATCCGACGGTCAGCAAGTTATTGCTAGCTATCTCAAGTATATCTCGTACGTCGCCGCAGATGTTGTCAATCATGCTGGAGTCCACGAGAAGCGCGGATTGGAATCGTTCGATGCTGTTGATGAGCTCGTGGTGGGGGTCAACGGATAGATAAGAACCCCAGGGCGACTCGATGGCGGTAGAGACGTCCGAGATACGGGGACTTGTGGAAGCCGGGATCCAGTCGGGTGTGGGACTTCGCGCATGTGTATGATGAGGAAAGCGTGTCAGTGGGCTTCCGAAGTGGGTGGTGGTAATGGTCGTTGAGGAGGAGACGGTGTCGGCTGTGGATGAGGATGATTCGATTGCAAGGTGCTGCCATACATGCGCATCCTGTACTGGTGCTGGTACATTTCCGGAATCTTTAATCGCAGTCGCATTGTTATCGCGGATAGAACTCTCCGGAACGTCATCGGAATGGAAAGCCACAGGGGCAGAGATCAGCAGCTGTGTACTCATCCCCGTAGAATGGTTGTTGTCCGGCTCGAGCCTCAACGCAGTCCCAGTCGCCTCCACATCCTTTGATCGACCGTCATGTTTATGGAGGCGTCCCCAGAGACCCTTCGCCGCACGCCTGGCCCAAGACTCCTTGACGTCCTGGCCGTCGTGACCTTTGCGCGATGCCATATCAGCATCACTGCCCTTCCAAGCCTTGCCAGACGAAACGAACTTACCTCTTGCGACCGTATTCGCACGTCTGCGCCATCTCCGCAGGCCGCTATTCTCTGCGGCCTCGGGATCCATTCGGCGGGCAACGAAAGCGCTGAACGCACCCATGTTGTCGTCGGCGAACTGGATATCGGAAAGAGAGGGGACACGCTTGTTGCTGAGATGTAGGACTAATTGCTAGAAGCGGCTTCTCGTACGGGGTGGGGTTTAGGTGTCAGTACGTAGATGAGATGTGGTGTGAAGCTGTCAGTCGCAGAATATTGCGGGCAGCGCATGTACGAGACCCTCGCCATTGTGGCTCTCGTTACCAGACATTTCGGTGTGGAGAGGCATGACACAGCGGCTTATTGGCTCTACCCGCTGGTCGCTGGTCGATTTTACGTATGCTGCAAGGGTCCAGGAAGCCCTCTCGTGGCCGGCGCAATGGCAAATCTACCGGTTATCAGGAGGTTTGTCGGTCTCAAGATATTCATTGGAGCGTCTGCCCTGCGCATGTCAGTCTGTCGCAATATGCCGGATGGCACTGGGCATCTGCAGGCTGCGGGCGCTGACAAGCTGCTCGGAGCGACACCGCGCAGCCTGCATTCGGTACCAAAGTATGCACAGCATGGAATGCGACCGCCTCGCCAGCAAAATGGATGGTCATTATCGATTCTTTTATTGTCGCATGCTATCCGAGCCCCTACAAAGCAACCAGTGTAACTCCTAAACGCTCAAACATGTATCCCCATATAACGCTACCCCGTTGTTCGCGGTCGGCGCCGGCTACGGGGCGGGTTCGTGACGGTCGTGGAACGAGGGGGAATGCAACATCCATCAAGCACTATTCGCTGTTAAGTTCAGTTACTACGTGTCTCGCCAGGACGCTGGCGAAGAAGAAAAGACGAGGGGGGAGGATAGGAGGGGTGGTGGTCGAGGCCCAGACTGCACGGCGAGCGCGAACGCGAAGGATGTCTTTGGAAGGAAGAGGGCAACGATAGTTGTGTTATTGGCTGCGTGATGCCAATTAGCACTCGTCCATGCTCATCTTCTAGAGACACTTCGTCGCCTTCGCTCGCTCGTACAGTCATGTATAGGCTCGATGTAAGCGAAAGGGCGAAGGCAGGGGTCGACTTACTACAAGCTCAAAGTCAAATCGCCGCGGATACTCGCTTTGAGTTCAATCTCAATCTCCAGATTCGCCTCGAGCGTCAGCTTCAATCCATCTTGGTCCTTGAGCTCGCTGCCCTTTTGCTGCGGCTCCATGCGGTAGGGCTGGTTGGGGTCGGTGCCGCGCATGGGGATCTCGCCTCTCATGGCGCGGGCGTATGTGACGGGCCCGTCCATGGATGTGCTGTCCGGGCCGATACGCTCGAACATGCCCATCTTCTGGAGATCGCCGTTTGCATCGGCTTCCTCGAGGGCTTCTAGCGACGTCGTGTGCATGTATTTGCCGTTCTTCTTGTCTTCTTCGATGCGGTTGCGGCGGGCGCGGCGCGACGAGGAGCGCGACCGGGCGGATTGCAGGCCCGCCTCGCGCTTGTCCTGCTTGGCCTTGTTCACAGCCTTCTCCTGCTGCATCGTCGACCGCTCGTGCGGCTGGTTCTCATAGTCGGAGTCCTTGTCGGCCATGTCGTCGGGTATCCTTGCTATCATGCAAGGCCTCGGGCGGTTGACGGAGGCTGTTCTAGATGGGGATTGTCTGCGTGGAGGTGGTGAAGAATTGCGCAGAGGTGTCGAGGTAACGGCGATGGATGCGAGCAAGATGTGAAGTCAGCAAGGTCGAGCAGCAAGCGGAGCTACTACACGCCTACGCACGCCACGACTGGTACGGGCAGCTCCACTCCAAAAACAAGATTACTCGCAACGGCCTGGTCCTCTGTAGCCCCCAAAGCAAGGACGCCGCCGCCGCAAGCTTGCACCCCTGTCTTTTCATCCGTCGTACCGTCTCACCGTTTCAGGCTCGCTACGGATGACGTCAGGCCCACATCGAGCGACACCAGCCATTGCTGTCCCAATCGGGTTGACAGCCGCTGCGTGACGTATGTCAAGACGATGCATCTGCGCGCGTCTTTGCAAGTCGCCCGACATTTGCACACATGCTGACGACGCGCGTAGCGATGGCGAAGCATTACCAGTCTCGCGCCCACGCGAGTGGCTAGTCCGCCCGCCGATCGCTTAACGCGGACCGTTGATCTCGCGGGCAACGGCTGTGCAATACTCGATCCTGGGCATAATAGTTGTCAAGTTTAGACTCAGGCTCGGATAGCTTGCTTCATGCTCAATGAGTTGACGTCGCATGCGCTCTCGGTTACTGGAGTATTATTACAGGGCATGGTAATAGCACGCCTAGTAGAGACATCCCCTGACGCTGCGATGATCATGACGAAGTTGTACGAGATAACAAAAATATCAACACCATCAGTATGCCAGCGCGATGGTTCAGCAGTGAACGGTGGTGCAAGTTGTTCATTGTGTCGTATTATACTGCAATACGTATCGTAACACTACATGCAAAACTCCAGACCAAACGCCATTGGGAACTCCCATTATAACAATCGATGCGTTTCGTGCATTCATCCTCGGCCGTCTTCTAGTTACTGCGCAAAGTTAGCATTTGGCTTCATTGATAGATGATTGTGTGCTTGACTTACAGCAATCCAAGCGTGAGATCACCGTGGATCTTGGCCTTCAACTGGATCTCAATGTCGAGGTTGAGTTCTAGGCGCAGCCTCAGCTGCTCACCTCCGTCCTTTCCACCCTCCTCTTCACCGCCGCCGCCGCCAGTGAGACCTCCGAGAGCCTTGCCAGCGGTGTCTCCAACTTGGTTGACGGCGTTACCAGCAGTGTTTTGGACCATTTCGCCGGCTCCACCAACGGCATCGCCTCCAGGGACGTTCTCGGTGATGTCGTCTAGCGGACCTCCGCCCTTGCCGCCCTTCTTTTGGCGCTGGCGGTTGCGACGGCCTCCAGACTGGGACACGTCGGATCGCGCATCAGACTCGGCACCGGAGTCTGCGCCCCGTCGGCCACGGCCACGCGACTGGCGGCGTCTCGATTGCGACTTTGACTTTTCTTGTTGGGGTTCGTCGGACTCGTTGTCAGCGTCGCCGCCGTTGGTTTGCTTCTTGGATTCTGCGTCCTCTTGCTCAGCTTTCCCTTCGCCATCGCTTTCGGGGGCAGGAGTGGCGTCAGGAGTGGGCTGCTGTTGAGGCTTCTTTCCGCCCAGCTTCTTCGGCGTCTTCCTTTCGGTTTTCTTACTCGATGATTCCGCACTGCCCTTTGCGCCTACCGAGGCGTTGGCATCCGCGTTTCCCTCTCCGGAGACAGACTGCTTGGTCTCTTCAACTGTGTCCGCCATGGTGCTGGTTGGATGGTCTTTGGGTGGGTGGGAAGTAGTTAGACGGGTGATGCGTGACGAACTGAAGGTGCTTCGGAAATTGTTGCGAATCCAGAACCACGGCGCAATTCGTTAATAAGAGAAAAGCGGCCTGGGAACAGGAACCGGTTTGAAGCTTCAAGGTACCTGCTACCCCTGCCGCACTCGAGCCACCCGTCATGCAGTCTGACGCACCATGTGGCACCCACATCCACCCCACCGCCAGCGTCCCAAAACTTGACCCCATCCCTGCGCGCTGCCAACCTGATTATTTTAGATCTGAAATCGTGCTTGCGACAGCCTAGCTGTTCCGCTCAACCCGATGCGCTGCGAGCTCGTGTGCCTCTGGTCTCGCTTACTCGTGATTGGCGCGAACACCAAGCCCAGCAGCGATGCATCGAGCAACGCGTCAGCTGAATGCGCTTGACATCAACGCTTTGGGACATGCTGTGGCACGGGCGAGGCCTCGATCAGTGGTCGGGCGGAACGTTTACCCATAGGATGCGGGAGACCGTTTAGTGCTGGCACTGCTGGCGTAGAAATAAGAACGTGTCTTCGTAGCGCGCACAATAGATCTGAGGTAGCGCAGCGTCGAAAGAATCCCGCGATAAATTCGATATCACGAGCGCTGTGCTAAGGATCGTTGGGAAGACGCAATCGCGGGGCGCACCAGATCTTCCCCGATGGCCGGCCCGAATTGCGCCGGTCTGGCGGGTATCGTGACGACGGCATTTCCATACGCACCTTCTCCAGAGCTCAACGAGAGCAACCAGTCAATCGGACACCAAGATACTACCAGTCCAGCATGACATCCCCAGAAGCTGCAGATGCAGCCGCAAAGCAGCGGATCATTAAGCACATGAATGCAGACCACCATGACTCCGTACGCGCCACCCACTTCATGCACCATTGATGTCGAAATCGAACTCCAGTCCTAATCTTGACCTTAGATACGCCGGTATGTCGAAGCGTACGCTTCCAAGTCTATGATGCAGAGTCGCTCGGCGCAGATGGTCGACATTGATCTGAACCAGATGGTCTTGAGCTGTGGTGGGCAACAAGCTATCATCGCCTTCGATCCGCCGATGAAGGCCATGCGCGAGGCTCGCGAGCGGCTTGTTCAAATGGACAAAGACGCTCTCCAGACTCTGGGTCGAAGCGACATCGCCGTCACGAACTTCGTTCCTGCGTACACGCATCCTGCTCATCTGTGGAACTTTACGCAATGCGTGCTTGCCCTGCTCTTGCTACCGCGGCCAGAAAACTGGCAGCCTGGATCGCTTCTCTACGACACCGTGTTGTATCTTGTGCCTGGCTTCGCGAGCTTCGTCGCTCGAATCGGCTTCACGGTTTGGGCCATCACGGTACCTATCCACATAATCGAAGCCATCATCATGTCGAGGAAGCTTGCAACACACGGATGCACATTCCTTGATGCGGTCTGGTGGAAGTGGGTGGGTACGTGTCTCGTTGAAGGGTTCACGTCGTTTCTCAGGCTGAATGCGCTGATCGCGGAGAAGAAGAAAGAGAAGGACGCGAAGAAGCACTAAGACATCAATGGGATACAGAGTTCTTGTTTCAAAAGCATCCTGTGTAGTATAGTATCCTCAACTCTGTAAAATGGTTTCCGACGGCGATGCGCCCATATGCTATACTGGTCGGGACTTCTTCTTGATGTCTAATCGAGCACTGTTAATGTGTTCCTGAATCCATCTAGTTGGTGTTGTAAGCACATGCCGTTTCTTGCAACACCAACTGGACGAATTTATGACGACGTTCGCAGAGATCATTCATCATACAGTCTTCATTGTTCATGTCTCTATATTATCAGCCAGTTACGCTAACACATATTTGACATCTTGCGCAAAGCTGATTGGTACCGAGTTCTGCTCATGAACGGTACCTTCAGGCTTCAGCCATGTATCGTGGGTGTTGCATTGGTCAGCATCGAGCAAGTTGGAACGGCTCAACCACAGAACCGAAACAGCAAATTTTCGAAATATATATGATAACTGCGTCTTCCTCTTTCATCTCGTTCTTGTCGACACACTTAACATCCTAGATCAACTCGAGCTAATGCCAACACCTGGCGACGCGGCGCACGAGAAGCCTTGCCCAATACCGTCGCGATGCCTCCAAAGCGAAAGGACGAAGCAATCACGACCGCGAAGCCTGCTAAGAGAGTTAAGACAGGCGGCACCTCTACACGCACACATCCTCTCAATAAGCCGGCCGGCGATGAGACACCCGCCAACAGCAACGTCAAGAAGAGAAAGCCCCAACGACGACTCTATCAAAGCCCACAACCAACCACAGCTACGGTAGATGGTACAGCGTCCTCTCCATTCATGGCCCTGCCAACCGAACTGCGCTGCCAAATCTACAACTACCTAGCAGACATCGTCTACGATCCCGTTTTCCCCGAGCCGGGCATCTGCAGCTGGGAAGTATGTCGGATGCCCACCGCACTCCTTCAACTCAACAAGACTATATACGAAGAAGTGAAGCATCCCGCGGTGCAGAAGCCGTTACAGAAAGTCAACGACGAGCTTGCGCCCAAGATGATCCTCGGCCCGACGCGCGCTGAGATAGACCCTGTGTATGTCGCGCTCTCGGATACTTTTCATCTCGCCGGCAAGCAACTGCGTACGTGCCTGGATGGACCACAAAAGCACAGTACCGCGGTCAAATACGTCAGTCTGAAGATTGCGTCTTGGTACAACGATACGTATCTACCGCAGCAAGTACAAAACGGGAGTATGAAGGCTTCCAGTGCCCAGATCAAGTGCAAGACCAAGCACTTGCACAAGTTTGTGAAACAGACTTTGAGAAGAATGGCGCTGAGGAACATCTGCGAGATTCGGATTCGACTCCTAAGCCACCCACTGGGACCGCTACACAAGCGAAAATTTGGGATCGGTGCTCCATTCTGTGACCACACGGAGTACGAAAGATTGGCCGCGAAAGACAATATGCGGAAAGCGCTGAGTGTCGGGATGAAGCGCGAACTTAAGACCGTGTACCCGTCACAACACGCACATGTCAACCACACAAGTATCCTGACTATGATGTCGAACGGCTATCTAGCACATGGGATGACCATCAAGTTCTCGGTGGCACGCGCGAGAGATCGGCGCTTGTTCGACAGGGCCAAGTCACTCTGTTAAGTGTTTTATTAAAGGGGATATAGCTATACCCGCTCTCATGACTCTCCACAGCAGCACGAGGATATTCAGTAGTTCCAACATATTGGACAAGCCCGGCAATGTGCCCTAGAATTACACATCGTGCATAACTCTTCTGATCCTGCGTCGATACCTACGTGATGATTTCAACCGGGAGGTATGTGTAGGACGAAGCGAGTTTCATGCTGTCAGCTGGGTCCTTGATACGCATTCGCGATGGCAGGCATGGCTGCTGAATTTAATGTTCGTGTCGAGATTGCAACGATGTCAAGACCACAAGCTCCCGCTCGGGAATGCGCAATAGGACGTGAACTGCCGACCATTGCAGTTCACGTTGCTTACGCAACGATGTGAAGATTGGGAGCACAACCTTCATGGATAGCGACAAGGCCGACGTGGGCAGCAACGACCCAACGAGTGCGGTTCCAGACTTTATGCCGAGATCACTGTGCCATCTTCTACTGTTCGCTATACCCAGGCCATTTCGTAGATGACCAGATAACGTCTCCACACAATTGTTGCCCAGTTATATCGCGACGTTGTCTTCTGTCGTGCACCGTGGCGCATGTTCGATCGCGCGTTCTGCGGAAGTTCGCGGAGGTATACGGGAGTGCATCGCGCCGAAAGAGGACGGTTCGTCATGCTCTGGGTGACATCAGTATCCCAGTGCAGTTTGCATTGCGCACACCCGTATAATCGTATCCGCATCTATGCCGTTGTCAATGTGTGTCAGCATATGCGCTGGGGTGTAGTCAGAAGGCGGCGGTTGGTCTTGTTCCATGAGGCCACGGTCGTTGAGAGGGCACGCAGATGCGCATCGACGATGGTAGGAACTCAGACATGTGATATGGTGAATGCTGTCCCTACGTTTGCGATACCTCGGCTCTAAGACACCCGGCAAGGGGATTTGGTACCTAGAACCTCTGCTTCGTTGGGAACCGGTGTGTAGGGCGGATAAGGAGTCGAGCGCTCAGTTCTTGCGGGTTGAGCCATGGGTAAGTGCCCGAGGCTTGGAAGCAACGTGTCTTGCGGATGTGTTTTGGGCAGCGCGCAGAGCGTCTCTCAGATCCTTGGTCTTGGGATGTCCGATGGAGAAAAAGTTCGGCATTGCCGGCCATCACGGTGTGTTGTGGAGGCCACTAGAAACTGTTGCGGAGACCATAGGGACTAGTACTGGACCGTGAAGTATGGGGCCCGTAGTCCAGTCCCTGGGGTCAGTGCGGGTATGAGGGGTGTTGCGACGCGCACAGGATGACCGTGGTCACTGACTTCGCATTCGTATATTATTTCACTGTCGGCGGGGAACGGTCTAGTCGCGATGTCGTAGGTGGTGCACTCGTTGGGTTGTTGGTGCTCACGTCGGCGTTGCCGCTATCGATAATGGCAGTGTTTCAAGGAGCAGCTAGCCGTTCCCATCGACGCTATGACGTCGGTCTTCACGCCTCACCACCGTGTTGGCGCCTGTCGAACCTTATTGTCCTAATTCTGTACCACACACGACGACACTCTTCTTCCTCTTGCTACTCTTTCTACCCGTCATCGTTAACACCTTGCTGCGAACCCTCGACTGTACTCCATGTCCTTCTCCGGCATCTCTCTGGACTGTACTCACTGAATGCATTACCACATACTTACAAATCCTCGAGAGCGTAGAGTGGCGCGTTGCGCACGACGGCTCATTCGACCTCGCGCACGGATATAGTACTCCGATGGTGTACTGCTAATACTCTTACTTTCACGACCTTTCTCTACAAACCCTCTTCAGCCTACGATCTGTCGCACAAAATCGATTTCCACAGATCGTGAAGAAATTCCGGTTTATTAGTGTGAGTAAAGTTTGACATGGATACGCTAACGACGTCTAGGTCACTCTAGGTATGAGACTATGATCGGGCTTACGGTGAACCCTCGACATACACGATGCAGACTCATGTCCCATTATCAACAAAAGTATTCCTGTTATACAGCGATGAATTGAGCGACCTCGACGCGAACAAAAAGCAATGATGACGACGGCGATGCGCGATGGGAAGGTTAGACGTAGCTTGCAGCGGGCCGTTCGCCTCGACCCGCATCCTTGGCTATATGTCTCGACACCACGACCCAGACTCGTCCAGAACACGCAGCGGTCGAAACCCGAAGTGCGCCCGTGCACACAAGCGTAGAATATTGCTTCCACTGAAGGTCATTTACTCAGGCCAAGTGTATTTGGTGGCTGCAGGAAAAGGCCCTTCCCAAGTTGTCTTCGCCCAAGCTGAACTGTGGTGTGTAGTATCAACGGTGAAAGAACCTCTTCGCCAGGACTAGCGCTTCCGCATCTCTACACCGACGTAACGCCGCTGGAATCGTTCGATATCCGCAGCTTGAACTCCACGGTTGTAACGGCGGCCCACTTAACTATATATGTGAGACCGTACCCCAGGAAGCGGCACGATATATCGGCTGCACTTGCCCACCTGTTCTCCAACTCTTGAGTTGTCTTATATTCTCTTGTCATCTCTTGTCTCTTCCTCTCTTGGCTCATACTCTTCTCTCGACATCTCCTCCTCTCTTGGCCCAACCTCTTCTCTTGGCTCAAAGTCTTGTCGTGACTACTACTCATCCTCTCTTGACCCTTACTCCTGCCTAACTCTTATTCCTGCCTCACTCAACGATCATGGAGGACGCTACCTGGAAAGAGACCCGACCAGGTCGTTGGGAGCGCGCGCAAACCTACCTCGAGAGAATCAACATACTCACCCGCAACGTCCCCAACGCCATCGGTCGCGACAACTGGGCTAAGAACGCCGTTGCCAAGCTCGAATTCCACCCGGACATCAAAGACCCCGCTGCCTACCTGCGGACGGCCTGGAAACAAGTCCGCTACAACCATCCAGAGATTGCCGCATTCCCATACAATGGTCGATACATCTACCGCGTCGGCGACGAACCTTCCATCGCCTTGTGGGTCTCGGCTACATTCTCCGTCGCCGAGGGCAAGACTGTTGATGAGCTGCTGGGACGGATTCCACGGAACGAACAGATGATGTGCTACTTCCTCCCCGACACATCCGAAGTCATGATCTGGTCCCCGCACTACCGCGTCGACGCCCGCGGCGCAATCTTCTGCCTCAACCACCTCGTCGAGTCCCTGGCCAACATGAACCCGAACCTGGTCTTTGGCGGGTGTGCCAAGAACCTAACGCCGAGCATGGAGTTGACGCTTGGAATCGGGCACAAGAAGACACCAGAGATTGAAGCGCAAGCTGAGAGCCGTCTCGCAGCACTAGAGCCCCACAAGCCAGCCCTGGAGCTGACACCCACGATGAAATCGCAGAGACCGGGATACACTCAGCGACACTATGTCAAGCTGTCCAAGCGCGACACCAAGACCGTCATGGACAGCTGCGAGACGCGCGCTCTGGCCATCGACGTCGCTCTGCACGCCGCCCTCATCAGCTCCGTAGCCAAACTCGCACAAACAAAGGAAGCGCGAAGCTTCATGGCCTCATTCCACTCCAACCTCCGCACTCTGATCCCAGAAGGCGCGGCGCCAGAGAACTCGCCCACAAGCTACACCAGTGTTATCACCACGGAAGTCATCGTCTCGCCGGAAACCGACTTCGACTCTTACTACTCGCAACTCGCACCCGTCTACGCCGCCGGCTACGCGCCGTACCTCCCGTCGTCTCCGTTCTTCCACCAGCGCCTCGAAGAGACGCTGTACGTCAAGAAGTGCGAGGCAGACGGATCACCGCAGCCGCGCTTTGCTTTCCTGGGCGAAGTAGACGAGCAGGTCAGCAAGAACATCGGCGACGGGCTTGTCAAAGTCAGGGACTTCTGGCTGGGCGCCGAGACCCTGACGATGCGCATGATGGTGCACACGTGGATCTGGGAGGGCCAACTGGTCCTCAGCGTGTGCTTCAACGAGAGCTATTGGGATAAGGAGCAGGCGGCGAGCCTGCTCGGTGGCATGGAGGATGCGCTGATGGGGGTTGCGCTGATGAAGTCATCGAGGGTTGATAGTGCGTCGGGTTCGAAAACATCATTGGTGGATGTGAAGTTGGCGGAACTGACGATATAGACTGCTTCGACTGCGTAACTAAGATTCGATAATCTCTATTTGTAGTGCACGATACCATGAATAACAATGTTTCCTTCTGTTAACTCGCGCAAATGCATGTGATATTGATCGCCTGAGATGCAGTCTGTATGGTAATCAAGTTTGCTGTGGTCCGCGCCGATGTCCGCAGACAAGTGCTTCAAGCGTAGCTGGGCGACTCTAACTCCTTCCGGCCCATGACCATTGCTAGTCATGTACCCATCTCATTTTGAATTTCATCGCTCGCTGCCTAAGGTCTACAACTACAGAGCCACTATCTAGGCGTATACGTGGATTCGGTCGCGTGCAGCGGAGCAACGGCTAACGTGTTCAAAGCCTACCGAGAGCACTTAACTTTGTCTGGGGTTAAGCCCACCATCCGCGTAACGCCTCGTCGTACATGTTGCGTCATATATCCTGGATGTACTATATAGTCTACGAGGTTGTGCCGAAGTCCGCTGTGGCCGACAACATCCCGCGGATGCCGTCATCGCCATATTTCCTAAGACCAACTTCAAGACTCTGGAGACTCTTCTTAATAGCCTCTTTTCCTTGCGATTCCATGAAATCCACGCATGCGATCGGGTAATCGTGAGTCATCTTGAGGGTGAAATGCGGTTTCAACTTCCACGAGTCCATAATCCCGTCGTCCTTGTTTTTATCGTCGTTGGACTTAATGTCGCTTCGACATAGACCAGCATACCGTCGAGCGTCTTTCCAATTGGTTATCCTACTCTCAATCCCATCCTTGTCAAACCACAGCTCCATTCGCTTAGAGTAGGGAAGCACTCCAAAGCTGTGAGTATGGAGTGACAGGGAAATATCGTTTTTCGACACACGTCGTACTACAACATGGATGTTCTCTTGATCGAGTATCTCTTCACCGATCCTCCCCGGTACTCCAACATTCGTACTCGGGCAGAGCAGTATATCGCGAGATGTACAGTTCTCGATTGTAGCACGCCAATCGGCGCAACCGCCCCGCGGGCAACATCTTTTTCGCAAATCCAGTCCGCGGGCATAAATCTTTCGTAAGTTCAGTCCGCGAGCATAATTCGTCGCGCGCATAGGAATCGACACTTGGAATCCGAGGCTAAACTTGAAAGCGTCCTCAACACTCGCGCGCGTGATTCCGAGCGCATGCCACAACAAGGTCAAAAGATAAGGACAGGCCCACGCTGAAAAACGCGTGGCCGACCTAAAGAATAAGCTAAAGGTGCTCTCACTGTAATCGACTGTAAATCTCTCCTGTCCTGTCACAGACAGTAGACTGTAGATGCGATCTCGAGGATCGCGGCATTCCAGCGTGCGACCGAGCTGGTAAAAGATGAACCAGAAGGGGATTGCGGAACCGTGGCGGAAGTAGGCCCCTTTCAGTAAATTCTGGATCCTCCTCAACCGTGGATCATCCTGACAGTAATGCAATAGCTCTTCCAAAGCGCGCGTTTGTGCACCCCTGCTACAAACGAAGATCCGTTGCGGACTCCGGACCGATAATAGCTCATGTACAGTCCAGGCGCGGTTCCAGTAAGGGTGATTTGCCAAATCAGTCGTACAGATATCGAAAAGATCATTCCTGTCCTTGAAGCACCCGTTGTTGGAGCGAACAGCTGATGCCGTGTCCAGCGCAACCCATACGTCACCGTACCTTCTCAAACCAGTCGGCCCAACACCCAGGAGGCCTTTCCTCTTCACATAGCGAGTCTTTTCTGAGGCGGAAACTGCACGCTCTATCTGCTGGAAAAGGTGTGGGATACGATTCTCTTTGCCATCACCAAGCCACACGAGGACCTCTTTGGCGTTCTTGTAGATGTCTCCCATCCGCTGTACCTGCAGACTCTTCTCGACATCATCGTTTTGATTGATACAAAGCGCGTCGATCCAAAAGTACTCACCGAAAGTGCCATGGCTCGCTTCTTCCAGGAAGTCATAAAGATTTTTTCCGACTTGCATCTCTTGGTTATTTACCCTAGTTGGAAAGGGCCCCTCTTGGTAATTTACCCAAATTGGGTAGGTTTCAGATTGGTCTCCCCACGTGTACGAAAGGCATCTGTATGCTGTACCCTCTGTGTCTTCCCACAGCTGAACGAGGACCTGACCAAAGGCGTCCGGCGCTATTACTCTGAGCAAGCGCACTGAACTTGGATTGACCAACGGTTCATACACAAATTGGGTTTGACCAGTTGGATACATCGCTTCGCTGTCCGTTGTTGTAATCTGAAGGAAGAGCAGTGACAGTCTAGCGACTCGGTCTTGAACTTAGGCTCAGAAGTTGGAAATGAGCTGATGAAGGCGTGGGAGGGTAGGTGCTCTACCACAGTACGGTCTTGAATCAAAACTCCCACTAGATTCAATTAGAGAATACGACCTAGGAAGTATCTCTTGTTTGTTGATCTTTCAGCAAATGGGCTCTTATCGTAACGTAGCGTTGTTGCAAGATGCGGGAGAAGCTGTCTCGTTCTCGACTTTCGCAGGTGAGCCAGAGGCGGTAACACCTAGGATGCAAAGAGTCGAGCGCGCCTTCGACTTGGAGCTGGAATTGGGTTGGATCACGCTGGTCATGGAAAATGCGCTTTCGCACGCGGGACAATTGCGATAGCGTTGACGTGATTCGCTGAGTGCAGTCTGTGACACACAGGCTGCGGGAGAAGCTCACACGATGCAAGAACAGAAAGGACAATCGGAAAGATCAGGCTGGGAAGAGTTGCGGGCGTTGTTGTAGTAGGAGCGATAGGCGTCCAACCGTGCGCTGCTTGCCTGAAGCCAGCCACATATCACGTGTGCCGCCTATGATTCGTCCCGAGCCCGGAAGGTCATCACTAATAGCCCGCCCTCCACAGCACCAGCATGGCGCAGTCACTATCAGCCTAATCACGCAAAACATCCAACAATCGATCAAAAAGCGGCTCGTATTGATATAGCCAGTCCCACTTACTCTGACTACTACGCATACCTTTTCCGCCATCCCGGCGCCATGCCGTCTCACCCCCAGCCTGCAACAAAGGAAGATGATAACGTAACCGTGTGGTAGTTTGCCCCGCTATATAAAAGTAACGCCAAAATAGGGATATGAGGTATCGTGCAACGAAGCCAGAACAAAAAAGAGATAGATGACGACGATAGCAGATAAGTGTGCAATCATAATGCTTGAACAGCAAACAAAAGCAATGTCGTTATAAAAAATGCAGTCCGCTCCGGGATAAAATGGGTATATGTGGTGTAGATAGTTCCGAGATGCGATGTGGTGTAGATGCGACGTGTTGGAGATGGGTGTGGATGACGTGGATGTGGTGTGCTCAGATGCGCACAAAGTTGGTGGTGCTCGCGGCGGCTTGGTAGTTTTGTGCTGGAGGTAGGGAGGGCAACGAGGGCAGGGATAGACGCCCGGCTGTAGTCAAAGACCTGCACTTAGCTTATCTGATCTCAACATGAAAGATGAAGATAAGAAAAGCTGCGCGCTAGGGATGGGTGGGTAAGTAGGAGAGAAGCACTAACGCTCTCGGAACCATCTTGCGATCCTGCTCTTCTCGTCGGCTCTGCCCGCCTCGAGATGGGTGCTGCGCTCGTAGAGTTCCTGGATGATGTCAGCATACTGGAGATACCATCAGTGGTGAAGACTTACTTCGTCGTCTTTGTTGATCTTGATGTCCAAGATCAGATTCCGAATCTCTTCGCACCGCTGCCAGTTCGGGTACGGAGTACCCTGCGCACGTTGTACTCCGACGATGACTTCGCCCATGATCTCAAACTTCCGCCAGTTTATTCGTTCCTTGCCGACAACTCCGCCTGGCGGTGGCTCTCGACTGTCGCGCTTCCCTACGACGCTTTCCAAGACGCTGACGCCTGGATGGGGTGCGAACGCGGAATCCGTCTTCTTCTTGTCTCCGACGAAGGTCGAGTTGCCTTCCGAAGCCGATACGAGGTCGCGGCGGTGTAGTGGGATATATGGTATGCGCTCGCCGGAACTATTCTCCCACGCCAGTCGGTATGCGGAGTGCGACTTGGTCTGGCCCATGAGGATGTCGAGCTTCCAGAAGTCTTGGTTGGTGGCCTGAGGGACCAGCTCCCGAGTCGCTACCAGTCGTCCGATCGCGGTGCCGTTGATGCCTGCCATTACGGCACCTAGCATGTTGTAGTTGTTGAGTTTCCGAAGTTGTCGTGCAATCTTCATCCACTTCTCCATCATGAGCGCCCTGTGCTTGGGCTTGTCGCGCAGGAGGATGTAGTTGGTAACGAGGTAGGCGACGTGGTTGAAGTGCTCGGTCATGCGCGTAACATTTTCGAGGTTCTTGCACCGCTTCTTCTCTTCGGCATTCAAGCTGACGTGACGTACAAGATCGCGTGGTCGTACCGAGGAGAACATGATCCAGTCTATCCGGGTGAGTTCCTTTGCGATAGCTTCGTCCGATTCGCCCATAAGCTGGTGCCACTGAATCTTGGACATGGGCTTGATTGGGTTGGGTTCCAATTGTCGGGCGAGTCGCTCGTTCTTCTCGACTTGGGTAAGCAGGATCTGCGATGAGCCCATGGAGCCGTTGGTGGAGGAAGCGCCACCGGTTACGCTACTGCGGGCAACCGAATTCCGTGCCGAACTGCTCATGGACATGTGGCCGAGTGCTCTTGAGAACTCGTCCTCGTCGGAGTCTTCGTCCAGGACGTTGTTGTGGAATGTCGGTATGTTCTCGTTCTGGGCTCGTTGGCGGTCGCTGCATGCCCAGTCGGTGTCGTCGTCCTCGGTGACCATTTCAAGATCGCGAATAATCTCCGTTGCGGCGACGGAGAACTCCCGGTTCAAGGCCAACGACGATGCAAACCTTCGAATGAGTCGGCGTGTGGTTGGGTAGGCGAAGTCACCGGGATAGTAGGCTACCCAGTGTTGCAATATGGACAGGTAGCGGAGCTGGGCAATAATGCGGATCATGGGCAGTTCTTTGTCCTTGTTCTGCGACTCGAAGCGCTTGATGATGGCCTCTAGTAGCTGGCCCGGGGTTGCGAATCTCCGATACAGAGCCAGGAACACGGAGACGAACTTGGAGTCGTTCTTGGACATGGGCTGGGCGAGCAGTCGGTCGACCAGCTGCTCGAAGGTGTAGCCATTCTCATCCGACGGCTTCACCGACATGATGCTTTGGCCGGCGTCCGAGTCGTTATCATCAGACTCCTGGGAATCATAGCCGGGGGACTCTTCAGCGTTGAAAAAAGTTTTGTTGGTGTCGCTGGGCTTATAACGGTGGCCCTTGACCTCGCTTGAACCCCGTTGAAACCTCATGGAGATCTCCGAGCTAGCCCGCTCGTGCTTGCGGCTCCAAAGGTCCTTTTGGGTGATTGATTTCACGGCGGAAGAGTTGGCCCGGCGCCGCGCCATGGAAGCCTGGGACCTGGCTGCAGGGGGTCAATGACTTGCACCCTGGAATGGGCATTGGGGGGCATTGGGGGGCACTTGGGGCATTGGGTATGGGCAATTGGGCGTGTAACAAAAGGAAATGAGCCACTTACGGCGCTTGGCGGCTATGGCCGCGCGAGTGATGACGGACAGGCATCCTCGGTGCGTCTCCGGGGACGACTCGGAGGTCTGAAACACGCTCACGTCTCCAATGAAGGACTTTGCTTTCTGCTCCACAACGGCCGGATCGACCTCGCGGTGGGCGGGGTGCTGATCGCACTTGCAGGCGACGAGGATAAAGGGCAGGTGAGCCTTGGACAGTGTGCCTGGACTCAGTCAGCATGTCGCGTACGAGGCGCGTCGGCTGACGCGATGGCGGGGTACGCACTCAGCATCTCCGGGACCTTGCCCAGGCTCTCGTGGTTTGTGACGTCGTAGAGCGTGACGGCGGCGTCCATGCGCGGCGTCGCAAAGTCGTGGATTGTCTCGGGCCACTTGATGATGCTGCGGTCGCCGACGTGCACGTCGTTGAAGGTCATCTCGAGGAAGCGCACGATGTAGGGGGTGCCGTCGATGGTCATGCGGCGCGAGCACGAAGTCGTCGTGGCCGTGTCGGGCAGCCCCAGGGCGCGGCGGATGAAGGTGCTCTTGCCCGAAGTCCGCGCGCCGATGACGGCGATGTTGAGGTCCTGCATGGTTGATGCCGAGTCGCTGGTGGACTACATATGTAAGTTACTGCGGTATTGCCAACACATCATCTTCCCCGTGTCAAGGTACTCATCTACTCACGCTCGAAGGCTCCGAGGCGGCATCCAGGGCCTGGCGGTCCTTGTGGTGGGTGGGCGAGAGGGGCCCCTCGGTGTCGGACGAGGATTCGGCGCTGCTGTCGCCCTCCTCGTGCTGGGTGGAGAGGGTCGAGGGCTGGGGGAAGTGGTAGCGCTGGAAGAAGGCATCGTCGGCAATCTCGTCGGCCTCGCTGGCCTCGTCGGTGCGGTCGAGCTCGCTGCCACCGTCGGTGTCGCTCTTGGGCACGTTGGGAGCGGAATATGCGCGCGTCTTGATGCCGGGCCGCTGGGCTGAGGTGCCCGCGCTGCTCTCTCTGCGCGGCGGCTGGGCGGCCTGTGCCATCTTGCCCTTGTCTGTCGGCTTCGAGGGCGGCGCGTGAACGGCCCTGCTGCCTCCCGTGGCGGGCATGGTGAGGGCGTGAGGGCGCTCACAGCGAGGGCGGGCCCAGGTCAAGGCGTGTGCGACGGCTGGCGGACCCCAGGCGCAATGGGGACATTGGAGACTTGGAGACTACACCGGTGTAAGGACAGGCAAAGGGCGGGCTTAGAGGTAGGGCGGGTGCTGCTGGGAGGCGGTCGTCTGCTACGTCGTGGACGTCGTCTGTACTGGTATGCAGTATTTCAGCGGGGAGAAGTCGAGTTCATGGCAGCCAACGGGGTCTAGCTCGCCTGCACCAGACGATGCGCCCGCGTCGCTAACCAGCTAGCCTGCATCCCACTCTCTCCACACGACGCCTGAGACGCCTGAATCGCTGCATCCAAACCCCTTGGCTGATCGCATGCCC